TTGATTGATTATGTAAACAATTGGGATAAAAAACTTAGTAGTATAATTTCAATAATAAGCATATTGTTTGCTCGAGTTCTTCTCTAGCTTTTTTTCCTATAAATTCAATTATAAATTAAAACATTATGGGAAATTAGATGTCATTTGTGGCTTGCAATGGATGGTTAATGTAAACAGCCGGATTTGACTGAAAAATTAAAAAGTGATACTATTATCAAAAGAATTAAAAAGTGACGTGAATCTTGCTTTTTGTGGTTTTGTATGCAAAGTTTTGATCCTCAAATGCCTTGGTGGGTTGAACTTTTCTTCTTCTTCTTCTTCTTCTTTTTTCCTTTTGTGGTGGTTGGTTTTAGTTTTACTCTGCCCGGCAGTTGCATGTGCCGCCACTTCATGAAGATCCTTCCACTTGTATTCTATTCTAGTTAATCAGGTTCTTTAAACCACAAACCAACTAAATAATGATGAGGAGAGCTCCAAAGTGCTGCGCATCAGCCTCTACTCCATCTATCCTCCTCCATCAAAGTGGAATCTAAGTATATATATTTCGAAAGTCTTGATAAAAACAATGGTTTTGATCGTACGTACGTTGTGAAGGGAAAAGGGAAGAGGACCACGTATTTTGTTTTGGGTAATTACTAATTTCTTTAAAAAAAAAGAAAACAGTGCTTTAACGAAGAAAAGTGGTTTATGTTTCTTTAGGTAATATGATTTACCAAGCATAATTATTAAAATTATTTGTACTTAAATAATATTAAAAAATTCCTTAATCACTTTATAAATCCCCACGAAGATAATGTGCCCATGAAGTTTCTGGCAAAAACCAACATTTAGCCTATTACCTTGCAAAATTGATAGATTTTAGCCATTTACTTTATAATATGACACTTTAGCCTTTTGTCTTATAAATTTGGTAGGTTTTAACCCTTTATCTTATAAAGTTGGTAGGTTTTATTCCCTCACCTTATATTATGATATTTTTTATTCTCTCACCTTATATTATGATATTTTTAGCCCCTCACCTATACGAATTGAAGAAAATAACTCTCACATAATATTCGGTTACAACATTCTGTTAGTTCTGTTAGTTGACTATTAACATCCATTAGCATTTCGTTATAGAAAACATGAAATTTAAATTCAATTTTATTTTTTAGTTTCCTTAACATAATGCTAATGGATGCTATCAATCAGCTAACAGAACTAACAATTAGCTAATAGAACTGACAGTTAACTAACAGAACTAACAGAATATTATAACATGATATTAAGTGTGAGCTATTTTCTTTAATTTGTATAGATAATGGGCTAAAAGTGTCATAGTATAAGTTGAAAGGCTAAAACCTACCAATTTTGTAAGGTGAGGGGTTAAAACCTATCAAATTTGTAAGGTAAAGGGTTAAAAATGTCATATTATAAGGTTAAAGGTTAAAACCTACCAATTTTGTAAGGTGAAAGGGCTAAAAGTTGGTTTTAGTCGAAGTTTTTCAAGCAATAAAGCTAAAAAAATAATATGGAACAATGAAGCAAAGTTCTTCGAAGTTCCTGTTGAAGATTGACAATTACTTGAGTAAAGAGACTTTCACAGTAGTGACTGCATCACCCAATTCTCTCTCTTTTTGGGGTCACCCTTCATGAGCCTTATCTCACCTATGTCACCTTATCAGTTTTATCTTTGCAAAAAGGAATATTAGAGCTTTTGCTCTACATATTACCGACAAAAGTCATAAAGCTTGGATGGGGGAGAGATGAGGATAGGTTTGCATTCATACCTTAAAATCTTCTCCACGCTTTTGTTGATACCGTCGTATGGTTAATTTAATTGCTTGACCTGAAACGACTTAAGTAGAAAGTCTGCTATTGTAACAACAACAACGACGACGACGACGACGACGACGATGACGACAACGACAATAATAACAACAACAACAACAACAACGACAATAATAATAATAATAATAGTAACAATAATAATAAGAAGAAGAAAAAGTAGAAGTAGAGGTGATAGGTGAGCACCAAAAATAAAAGACTAAAGAAAGTATTTTTATATTCAATTTAAAGTAATTCACATCCTTATTGTACCTATTAACAATCCTCAATATATATGACCTATCATCTGATCTAATAGCCAACTTTCAATACAATGACTAGATTAAGGCAAATTGTGATCAAGTAAGGTAACTTAAAAGTAACTTAGTTGAATGATTATGTAAACAATTTGGATAAAAAACTTAATAGTAGTATAATTTCAATAATAAGCATATTGTTTGCTCGAGTTCTTCTCTAGCTTTTTTACCTATAAATTCAATAATAAATTAAAGCATTATGGGAAATTAGATGTCATTTGTGGCCTGCAATGGATGGTTAATGTAAACAGCCGGAAGTGACGTGAATCTTGCTTTTTGTGGTTTTGTATGCAAAGTTTTTACCCTCAAATGCCTTGGTGGGGGTTTAACTTTTCTTCTTCTTCTTCTTCTTTTTTTTTTTCTTTTTTCTTTTTTCCTTTGTGGTTGGTTTTAGTTTTACTCTGCCCGGCAGTTGTACTTTGTGGTATTTAAATCTTTTCATATCATTCTTAATATTTTAATAACCTAAATATCATAATTTCCCTCTATTAATTCCTTATATATACATAAAGTCAACGTTTTCCTTTAGATGAGCTGATCAGCTTTCCCCACCATATTTGGCAGGCTTTGTATTGGAATTGGACCCATTCTTTCTTTTTCCTTTTGCAGTAGGGGTGAGCATGGGTACGAATTGATCAAGTGTTCGGTCATACCTGTACTCTTACCTGGAGATGAAAAATTTATACTCGTTTTTCAGTTTATTGGATACAAGTATCCTCGTAGATACCAGACTCTTCGGGTCCAAGTGACATTTTGTCATATTGTGGTACACTTTTCTTTTTTTTTTAGCGGATTTGAGCTCACCCTTAACAAATTGTTTAAAAAAACAGTATCCACATATATATATTTGTATATTTATTAAATTTATACTGAAAATACATAAATCAATAAACAAATATAAGTTTATATATAACATAAGTTTATATATAAAACAAAATATGTGAATATATACATTTACATGTACACAAGTTTATATATACAATAATATAAAAAATTCAAATAAAAATTCATATGATTTCCTTCAGTTGAAATTTCAATGTCAAAAGAAAGGAAAAAAAAAAACATAAACATTTTAATTTCATAACATAATATTACAAATTAAGCATATAAAACTAGAATATAAGTCAGGTATATAGGTCAAATATATAAGTCAAGTATATGGATTAAATATACAAGTTAAGTAGGTAAATATTGACTCTCATACTTAATATTTATCTAATACTTTATAAATATGTATTTTTCATGGATAGTGATACGTACACCCATGAACCGGCACCCATTTTTACACCTAAATTGGTTTAAATAGTAAAATTACAAATTTACCCTTCTCACTAAATCTATTTCCCACGGAACAAATCCCAACAAAACTCAAGCATTCAAGCACATTCAACAACCAAATCTCAGGAAAACTCAAGCATTTCACCAAATCCATCCATCCAAAAAAAAAAAATCAAAATTTCTTTGGTGAGAACCCAGCTCGAGTTCTCCGGTGGGAACCCGACCTGGGTTCACCGAGAGAGAGAAAAAAAAAAGAAGAAAAAAGAAAAAGGTGAGGGAAAGAAAAAGAATGATCGGTGATAAAGGTAATGAAGATTACAGATGGGTGATTGATGATGAAGAAGAATGATCGATGATGAAGGTGGAGGATGATGAAGATCGGAGATGATGGGTAAAAATGGTGATTAGAGGATGATGGAAGAAAAAGAGGAGGAAGGTTAAATTTGTAATTTTATTTTTACATTTATTTGGTTTATACAAGAAAAACCCTTATTTTATAATATGTGCACCCACTGGTGTTGAACCGATGGGTGTACGTATCTTTATTCATTTTTCATACTCGATATTTAATTGTATCTTCACGAACACAAGTAAATTACCTATTCAAATAAATCAAATATCTACATATATCACATCTACTCGTACCCAATGCTCAGCCCTAGTGTTGGCTCCTCCTGGTTTTATATATAGAAGCCAACTGTCGCACATAATACCTTGGCTTTATTTAATTTATTCTTTGCTTTGCAGGAGATTTGCCACTCACCTCAATCTTCCCCATATCACCCCCTCTCATGAAAAAAAAAAAAAAAAAAAGCCACTCACCTCAATCTTCCCCATATCACCCCCTCTCATGAAAAAAAAAAAAAAAATCAGAGATTACTGAGAATGTTTCTTCAGACAATATTTCTTTAATAATGATTAATATATTTTTTGATTTAATATATTTTATAATATGTTTATTAAAAATTATTATTTTTA